CCTTTATACGACCTTTCTTTGCAAAATTTACAAGAAAAGCCCTAAATTAATTTCTTATTTCTGTAGCTTTGAGCTGACAATGAACATTTAGGGCTTTTCTTGTAAATGTTGCAAAGAAAGGTCGTATAAAGGTGGGAAATGTCTCATTATAATTCGAAATTTGCGCGGTACAATCATACCGTATTAAGAAAGATTTTGAGAGCTTTCCAGATTTTCTGAAAAAACTGGTTTTCTAGAAAATCGCTCTCTTAATGCCTCTAGGCAGCTACCTCTATGGTATTCGAATTCAGCATAGTTGATCACCTATAACCCACCAAGTTCCAAAAATGGAAGTGACAGTTCACGCGGTCCCGTTATTAGTCATTTTAACTTCAGTGCTTTTAGAATAGTAATATCTTCCGAAACCAACAGGTATGATCCGTACTGTAAGAATACGAATCATATGTTTATTTATGTAAATTATATATACGTACAAAATATATCAATGACTATGTCTACAGTCCTGCAGGTTACGACTTTTCGACAATCTATAATCTAACCTATAAAAATTTTCACAACCTAAACCTAATCTAACCTACGAAACTCGTAACCTAAACCTAACCTAACCTATTCATATTTTGCGTAACCTAACCTAGATTACCTTAATACAACCTTTTGCAATTTCTTCTGAAAATATGGATGACAAAATGTCCAGTTTGTCTGGTCATCCTCCAGGATGAATTATTAGTATTATGTTTCTTTTGCTAGTTTCGCATCTCGAGAAATTAAGAGCTACTCAAATCAGGGAGAAAAGTTCGCTGAACATGTTGAAATATTTCGCCGGCGTACATAACAAGACTATGTACACTTATTTTTATTTAAAGTTAGTGTTTTTTCATATCTTTAGAAAAAAATTTTCTCTTTAATAGTCTCCTTTCTCCCAAGAATTTTGTCTAAGATCTTGCCTAGATTTGTTATCCAATCTAATCAATATTTAACGAAAACACACTTTTTCTCATTTTGTCTCCCAAAATACTTGCGAGCAAAATTTTGAGAGAATGAGGATAAAAGCTCAAATGGATGTCAGCATTATCATTTTCATGAACTTATAGTGTTGAAATTATGAGAGTAGATGGTGTTGTGTTCTCATACTTCTGTGGTTTTCTTTCAAAAAATAATACAACCCCGTCTACTTTTTTCTCTCGCCACGGCACTGTGCCACGGCAAACTAAACGTTATTTTTATATTTAGGCCATTATTTTGATTTACATGAGTATTCGATAGTTCGATTAATTCAAATAATTTATCAACATACGACTGGTCGAAAACCAAGTAGAAACGATGTTCGAATTGCTTATCATTATCATAAATGTTTTTTTAAACAAGAGCCCGCTTACTTTTTAAAATACTATAATTTTTTGTACGGTAGAATACTTGGTTTTAATCGAAGTACATTGTTGTTAGGTAATTATATAACATTGACACATCTTTAGGCTCGAATAACTCACTTCTGAATAAAAAAAACAGAAATATTATTCAGTACTTGTATGAATGAAATATACACTTTTTCTTTTTATTCATTCTAGCTTTTGGTAATATTTTACCGTCAATAATAACTATAATTGCAAATATTTTTTCCGTTATTCGTATCATTAAAGTTAAAGGTAGAACAAAAAGCTTATGTAAACCTTGTCGTCGTTCAAGGGAATCTCGTCGAGTATTAATCATAATAACAGTTGAATGTTTATTAGCAGTATTAAATTCATGGTTTATTGATGTTTCATTAAGTTTTATTTATTGTAAACAAAATCTATCGATTGGAAATGATTGTCCCGCATTTATTCGAAAATATTATGATCTAGTAACAATTTTAGATTTTATTAATTCTATGACAAATATACCGTTACATTGCTTGTGTGGAAAAGTATTTCGAAGAGAATTATCGAAAATGTTATATACATTTTATCAACGTTTAATTTGTGTTATTACTTGTTCAAAAATACCGATCAGAAATAAGTCATGGTACGGAAAACATAATCAACATCACACAGTACTAACACAGAAACTTAGTTAAATAGAAAACCATATACCAGGTTTCGTTGATTAAAAGTTATAGCGAAAATAGAGGTGATAGTATAACAAAAATTAACAATTTTCAGAGTTTTGTGAGTTTAAAAAATTGCTGAGAACTCAGTGTTTGAGTGAAAATACTTGTTATAGAAAAGTTGTAGAGAATTCGTTGAGCTTCCAGAATCTCTATTTACTTTTGTTTGTACATGTTTTTATCTAATAAAAACAGCGACCCATGCTGCCAATGCTGGTAGAACTTTCAATTAAAAGCCAATGTCCTTGAGAGCCCCACCTCATGCATCTTCTATACTAGCTTTGACCAGAAGACAAAAATAATCTAAAGCATTTTTGTCTTCAATTGTTGTTTAAACAGCGTTCACAGAGTTCTCTCAAATTTAGTTTCTTATTTTGATCCCAGCGCGGACCCTGAAGGAGGATAGTTCTTCTAATAATGGCAAAAAGAAGTTGCATTCCGCTCGCAGTTTTTTTTTGTAATGAGCCATATTCACATGCTGGTGAGAACAATACATTGGACGTTAAACAGCTTGAAAGCTGACCGTATAGAAGATAGATGTATTATGTAGTACATGCTCTTTCATTGTCTCTCTGTCGTGAATAAATATGCACCTGTCTCGGTATACCAAAAATACAAACTTCGATGTATGCCGATACCGAAAATACCGACTTTTTTGGATTTTTCCATTTGAAATGAGACAGTTTAGCGTTCTGGACACCTTGAAAGAATTAGACACATAAAACAAGAGCTTTGTTTGCTTTCTAAAGTCAAAGTTTTCCTTTATTATCTATTTACACGGCGGAGTGTTTGTGTTCTGGCTGGCCATGACGCGAAAGTATCTCGTTTCAGATGAAAAAAGTCCAGATCGAAAAAGATCGGTATTTTCGATATGGATACCAGTTGACAAAAAATAATTTTCTCTGTCGTCATCGATAGAACGCAAGGCATATACGGATACGTCAAGTAAGCAATAGAGATAGATATTTTTCTCGCATTCTGTTTCTCTACAGTGCATGGAAAAAGTTTTGTTCAATAAATCGCTCATAACTCAAACATTTTTCGACCAAATTAGATGATTTTTTCATTATTAAACTTTTAAGACTCCTCTCTACTTAGAAATATAATAACATCTAAGGCTTCCACAGTGGAATCCTTCAAGAGAATCTAATTGCTTGCTGACCGTATCGTATGTCTTTTTTTTGATCTTTTTTTATGACGGCAAAGAGAAAACGAAAGGAAAAACATACGCATATGCTACATAATACATCTATCTTCTATACGTCCAGCTTTCAAGCCATTTGACGACCAACACATAGCGCCTCCGTCAGGATGTGAATGGTGTAGCTCATTGTTTCTCTTATAAATGAATAATACTCACCGCTGTTAAAGTGCACGATGTACTGCTCTTGTCTGAGTAAAACTCAGCATCTATTTTTATTTTCAATAACGTCTAAACGCTGTACAATTTTTTTTTTCCATTTTCCAGAAGATTATTTTTTTATTGTTGAAGTACGCATTTATATATGTACAAATTGATCATGAAAAAAAGATAACTGTTATAATATACTCATTTGAACAAAAAGAAAAAGCTTATTACAAAGCAAAATATTGTTAAAGCAAAAAGCTGTTTCTTGATAATGATTTTTCTCGTTGCTAGCGGCTTTTAAACGTCTCTACTCTTTCACCGTTATCTGCAAAGAAATCGTATTTTTTAAAATTCCAACGATGACAGCCTATATAAATATACTTTTGGAAAGCATCTGAAGGTAGGTCAATACTAACCGGAGTAGGAAGTAGTCATTGATGTATTCTCGGGAATTGCTTTTCTTATTACTATTCTCGGTTTCGAACATAATTACAGTGTTTTGATTCTCGACGTTCCTGTTTGTGATCTGATTTAAGGGGACGTCGGTATTTTCTATAAGAAAGAGAAATTATGGTCAATTAGAACCAAATTTGGCTTTATACTTACAAAAAATGTATCATCAAGATTCTGCTCTGTTTTATTCCTTAAGGATAGTAGCGTACGTATTGATATGGATGCTTGTTGAGATATTTTATGTTGTTTTTCATCCTGAAATGCCAGAAAGACAAAATATCAGAGAGTATAAATTTATTACAATAGAGGCACATTTTTAGGATTTTTTCTCCACCCAAAACATCTACTTTCTCGGTTATTCAGCAGTGGCAGAGTTCCTAAACCCCCCCCCAGAATAGAAGGGCATGGCTTTCTCTTGTGTCCCGTCGGATCAAACTTTTTAGGGTGGCCTTCTATTAAGAGTGGCCTTCTAAACCGACCTCCTAGATAGAATT